TATTATAAATTTGTGAATTATTATTTTATAAATTTTTCCGGTAGCTCTGCACTCTCTTCCTCAATTTTTTTATAGCCCGCAGTCATTCGCTTCCAAAAACTCTTTGTAACCACAACATTTAAACTAGCCGAATCATAAACTTATATGTGTATGGTTGAAAGTATAAAATAATATATTTAATATTTAATTGTTATATTGCAAAATAATAGTTTTTCTATTCTTAACTTTGATATATGTGTTAATCTTATATATAGTAGATCATAACATATACAAAATTTGATTCGTGAAATAATATTTTAAGATATTGAAAAATATATGCATGAAAGAATTAACATGTGTAAGATAATATTTTAAATATTTCAAAGTAAAAACACAAAATCGATCAAAATTATTCTGATATGTGATAAAGATTATTTCAAAATTATTTAAAATAATGCTTTAAACCAAAGACATAGCATGAGATTTTTACAGAGAATTAAAGTCGTAAAGATTCGTTTTTATTTCAAAATTATTATGATAATTGTTATCAAAATTATTTCAAAATTATACTTTAAACCAAAGACATAGCATGAGATTTTTAAAGAAAATTAAAGTCGTAAAAATTTATTTTTACTTTTACTTCTACTTCTTATTCATATGTTTGCATATTATAGTAATTATTATTTTCTGTTTGTTTAAATTTATTATTTTTAATATTATAATCTAATGTATTTATATTATAATTTTATAATTTATTAAATTATAAGTCAATTTATCAAAACATCCAAAACATTTCGTTTATTTTAGATGTCAATAATGATGGTGTCAATCAAAATATTTCCGCATCATAGTAAATTGTATATCCTTTTATTTAATTTTTAGTATATTTTGGTGATTTTTTTTAATTGAATCTGGAAACTGCAATTTCAAAAAAAATCACCAAAATTGAAAAAATCACCACTCCGTAAGAATAAAATGTTAAGATTGTACAATAAAAAGGTTTAATAGCTTACATTGTTGAAGTAGGTGAGAGGGTTGGTCCATGCATAAATCTTCCTTGATGATATCCGCAACCTGTAAAGAAACTGGAAAAGACAACCAAGATGGAGTCAATTGACATCTAATTGCTAATACGAAGAAAGGTTTAAATCATCATGGTGCCACGATTTTTTTTAACTTGGATGTATGCGTGGGTGCAGATTCCTTTCTTCAAGGAATGACATTTGTTTCTTTTCTTCTCGTCATTCACTCCATTTGGCAAGCCCTCATAATTGAAAAACAGAGTTTAAGGCTTAAGAATGAATCCCAAAGAGTGAGAATTTCAAGAAACAAACTTATGTCGTGCAATATACATCTAGTAAAAGTGAATGAAAATGGTGAATCAATCAAACCACGCTGATAAGGAAAACATAACATTTTGGTCTTTATCTTTCAAAAGTTCACATAGCGCAGGGTAGCCCATAAAGTTTCTTTAATCGCTCTTTTCAAACGGATCTTTAGGTCTCTCTTCGTCTCTTTATGCTACTTTTTCAAAAGCAATAAATTCAGGAAACTAAGAGTTGAAATCAAAGTAGACGAATTTTCGGAATCTCGAATTCCAACAAGTTTGCAGAGATGAGGGGTTTTTTTAGTCGAGGAACGAAAGATTCCGCTTCGACGTCTCCAGTTTCGTCGTCTGCAGTGACTGGACCACCGAGACCTATTCAGTTAGAGAAAAACTGTTTTAAGAACCAAATCAAAAAACAGAATAGAGAATCAAAACTTTCAGCAGTTAGCCATAAATCAGGGATGGCTTTGATGATTTCGTTAAGCTTGTCATAGACAGGTTTCTGGTGGAAAGAATCAATATATCCTCACGGCCATGAGATGAGGCAATACCTAAATTTCATTGCATCGGTTTGTTTTTCTTTTTAATAATGAAGTGTCCAAAATTTCCATATTTACCTAAAAAAATAAACCAGATCACATTTACAGGTCATCAATTATTTGCACTAGTTTTAACTGTGAAGTTGACAAGTCAGTTTTACTAATGTTACTTTTCAAAATAATATAAAGATGGATTTGTAAAAATATTAAAATCTATTATATTATGACATCTGTTTAGATACGGTTCTTAAAACTTTTCTTTATGAAGCAATCTTTCCATTTTTCTCTTATTTTTTATTATTTTTTAGTATTCTAAAATATCTATGTTAAATATGCCGTTGGAATAGCCTTAACTTCTACAAAAAAGAATTTAGTAGCGTTCTCGAACTACATGAAACTTTCTCAAGTCATATCCATTTATTCAAAATACATATGATTTTTTTTAGCAAATTCTGAAGTCATATCCATGTATTGTTACTTTCCTTGCATTTTAATTTGAAAACTTTTTTTAACAAAAAAAAAAAACAGTTATGCAACGGAAACTTGAATTTAATTTTTTGTATGTTTTTTTTTAATATATCAAAAGAGAAGACTGAATGACAAAAAGACTCTCTAATGCCCTATTCATTCTAAAAAAAAAAAAAAGCCCTAAAAACTAGAGAGTTGTGCTGCATAATGCATGCACCCTGCTTCTCTTATTCAGGAACCGGAACCATACTTGGAGTATATACATAGCAATGGTTATGAAGGGTATGACACCAACTATGTCGTTCTCCCACAACTTGATTTCTCTTAATTTCACCGTGACCCATTTCGTAAACGTTGACATAAATATATTTCTTCTCGACATCCAATTGCCCGCACCATACCATGATACTGTTTGTCTTGTGGTCGATGAAGTATGTCGGGAAACTGCAAAAACTCGAGTAATGCAATATCGGAAGGTCAGGACCAGTAACATCAAAATGCTTGCTCCAAGAAACAACATCATCAGTCACCTTGTTTGTAACCCAAACCTCAATCTTCACACGTCTATGTTGATGTAATAAAGAAAGCCTATCTCCTCGGAAACCTGATAGGACTAGTGTACTTTCATTACTCAGACGGAAACAATCAGTTTCGAAAGGAACAACACAGCCAATGTCTTTGAATGCCTCTCTGGAGAAATCAAAACTTTGGATGAAGATTTCGGTTTCCGAGTTTTTATTAGCCGTCTTCATATGACCAATCCAGTACATGTTTCCATTCATAGACAAAGCTTGGGACAGTACATGCCAAAGCTTTACACCCTCATCGAGAGCAGCATCGATTCTTCTCCAGAGTTTAGACTTGAACTCATATATCTCAATATCTGATCTGTCTTGATCGCTAAACCTCAAGATCTTGTAGTTGTCACGAGATACATTGTCGTATCCAAAACCGTATACTCCAACCCCTTTGTTAGAACGCGAGGGTTCGATCCAACTGAATTGTCTCAAAAACGGATTCCAAACTGCGAGCTTTCTAATTGTGTTAGCATGCCAAATATTTTCACACAGACATAGCAATAACCCGTCGCAGTGAATCATTGCACAAATATCAGATGGACCTTCAAGATGAGAGAGATCTTGGGTCTCAAGATTGAAAAGTTGAACTGAGTTATTATGATGATCGACTTGTATGAATCTTTTAGTTTTAGGGCAGAGATCCAAGTGTTTGTACTTGAATCCATTGTCGTTAATAAGAGCGTACCATTGTTTGCATATAGTTTTGAAACGTACCAAAGATTCCATCGGAATCCTGAAAAGTATCGTTTCTACCAACTCAGAAGGTAGCCACGACGAACGCTTTGTCGATTTTGACGAAGCCATGGAAAGTTTCAGAAAACACAGTGGGAGAATAAAAGATTAAACCTAATTTAAGAAGGTTCTGTGATTATATATGTAATTATAAGTATGGTAAACTAGACCTCTTCCAATTGAAAGAAAAAAGTAAATTACTAAAAAGGAAGAAGAAAAGAAATCAACAAAGAAGTAAAAAGGAAATAAAAAAACCAACGTGGTTTTCCATTTTTTTTTTTTTTTCTTTCTCCTACAAGAAAATCTCTCATTTTAAAAAAACTAAGGAGAAAATCTCTCATTTTCCTTCTCTCTTTTTTTGTCCTACACTCTGGTCACTATAGTCTATATACTCTCCCCAATAATAGAATCAGAAACAGGAATTTACCACTAATATGCTACTTAAAAACTAACCAGAAAATATGATCAGAAATCTAATCAGAAATAAGTCGGAGATGTTATCGAAGTTTTGTCATAAAATAAAGAAGCTAACAGTGAAAGCCTTTGGCTAATAGAATCTTATTAACATAAAGTTTTCTGACTTTGATCTCTACACTGTGTAGACTACACATGAATAAATACAGCAACACTCATTGTTTCAGTTACACATGGGCTTCGAAACTGTTCTACTAAATGCCAAAACACCATTTTGCAAAAAGATGATCATTTTTTTATATATATAAAGCAAAAAGATGATCTTTTTACTATACCCTCTTACTATCTGATAAGCCTTGGAGAGTATACGTGACTAAGAAGAAGCGCGGCAAAACTGAGGTGGCAAGTTCAGATACGATATGAAGAAGAAGTCAATAAGGAGAGACTCTAAGAAGACCAGAGGTTTCGAAAAGTCGTGACTAAATCGTAGAAACAATTGTTTGCTTTTATGAAAAATTGTATTTTCGTATTGTGAGGAGAGATTACATTGTGAATCAGTGAGAAACGAGTTCTCATTTCTGTGGGATCCGTTCGGATTACAAGTGTAATTGGAGTTGATAAGCAAATAAGTGAATTTGTTCTTATCACTATCTCATCAGTTTCTTCTAATTTGTTAGCTTTGACAAACACTTAGTCATACACCTAGAGACAACTATTCTTTTTTGTTTTTCTTTAATTGCAACAGACACAAAGAATCGTATGAAAATATGATCACACTTATAAAACGGATACGACAAAAGATGGTGAATAGGGAAATGTGTAATTAAGTTTACAACACATGGCATACCAAATCCAACATTCTCCAAATGCATATATAGCCAAAGACTTGAGAGTAAAATCTCTCTTTATTGCAAGCCTACGTTTACAGATCCTGATCTTCAGAAGCAGGAGAGAGAGAGCTCTCTAAGCAGATGCGTTGATGGCTTTCTTCACAAAGTTATCAACATAATCTTTCCTGTTAATAAAACCAAGTTTCTTGCTATTGTAATGTTTGCGTAAAGAGAAGAAGCACAAAGGTCTATGCTTTTGTTGAGACAACAATGGGAAAACAGCACATTGTTTGTACCTTGCAGGAAGATGGTCGTGTGGACGATTGTATGGTGTCCACACCGGTTCACCCACAAAAAGCCGCATCGCCTGTTTGAACCAACATATTTCAACTTCCTAAGTAACCAAAAACCTATGATATATGACTAGAAGTAGCTTAAGATATATGTGCAAAAATGAGGGTTAGTTATATATTATATAACCTTGATATAGTTGTCTGAGTCGACGGTGAAGCGATGATATATTCCAGCAGGCAACACTATCATACCACCTTTCTTTACCCAAACTCTAATCCACGCTTCATCGCGATCCCTTACATCAAAGTATCCTTTTTTTTCCCAGGGAAATCAAACATTGAGTACTACTATATCGAAACTTTATCAAGTAAATCATCAGTAAATAAAAAGGTACTGTATACGTACCACTTCCTGCAACGCAGTAACGGATCTCTTCATCAGTGTGGAGATGTTCTTCGAAAAAGCTTTTTACTTTCTCTTCATAGTTTTGAAGCTTCTCAGGGCAAACCTCACAAAAGTCCTGCATTCAAACACATTTCTATGGTTAAAACCAAGACTCGAGCTTAGAGACGCTTATCAAAAGGAAACATAATCGGGAATCAGGAACTAGCAAACATAAGAAAAACTCAGTTCAAGCAGAAGAAGGAGGAGAAGTGAAACAGAGAAGGAAAGAGATTGATATGTTCTCTGAGTAGTTAAAATACTAGCAGTAAGAACCAAAGTGTGTAAAATCCCAAGAGTGAAAACGCAAGTTGTAAAACTAATCGTCTTACTCTATTCACAAACTACCCTTTACAACAATCTGCCATGACATCCTTGTAAACCCAGCCTTTCACTAAATTGTCTCTAAGCAACTCACAGCAGCTATAATCTGCTAAATTCAGTCATAGACTAGATATCCTAGACCTATAGATAATAAGGCTTTTGAGCAGCTGAACTTCTTTCTGAGTAAACCCACCGTAAGTTGAGTCTTGCCTTATCAAAATCAAACATTTGGCATTTCAAGTCTAAAGGAATAACAAAAAAAAGCCATCAAAATGAAGGTCAGAACACAAACCATGTAGGAGTAACCACGAGATTCGCGGATCTTTTTCAGTTCCTCATCGGTTTCATAGTTATCAGCGTCAAGTCTCCAGCTAAGGACTCCAAGCTCTACACAGAAACATTACATGAGAAGAAAATATTGTAAGAAGCAGAGAGATACACACACTTACCTGCAAGCTTGTCCAAAGAGATAAACTCCTTAGGATCCTTGTGGTGAGGAAGTCTCTGATCCTCTAGGCTATCATCCATGTACCATGCCTGGATCACTTCTTTTCTTCCATCCTAAACCAAAAACACACACACACACAACACTGCGAATCAACAAAGCATCAATTTTATAAAAAAAATAAGTTCTAAGCTAAAACACATCGATAGGGGTTATTGATTCTGAGAGGAATATTCGATTGCAAACTCCACAAAGTAAAAATACGAAATGAAAAAAGGAACTATACAGCTTGAATGATCGAGAATCGTCGAAACGAATCAACCAAATCACAATTCGGATAACAATCGGCGAATCCATGCTTGCATCGCGAGAACGAAATCAGAAGAAGATTAAAAAAAAAAAATACCTTCACAGCTTCACCCATGGTTGTTCGTTCCCGTCGTCTTCCTCGTTATGCCCGATTCCGTTTCGTCAAAACCACGCGATTCATCACGAATTTCTTCATTTTATACAATAAAAAAAAAAACAAAATCGCTTATTTATTAAAAGACTAAACTACCCTTCACCAATCAAAGATGCGTTTCCGATTATATCAAATTCGAATTGAATCATACTTTGTGTAAAACAAAACAAACTAATTAATCATCTCATTACGTCATCACATAAAGTTGTGTTAATTGCCAAATGGTTTTAATTAGCCTTAGGCATTTCGGCTTGGGTTTGATTTGGTTTATGTCGGGTTCGGATTGGTTCCGGATACACAAGTTTTCTAAAATTATTTTAAAAATATTTTGATATATTCAGTTAAATTTTGCCAAAAATATTATATTTTGACATATATAATTAAAATAATTTGAATATTTTAGTTGTTATAATTTAAATATAACTCATATATTTGATTTATATTTATAATTATAAAAAAATTAATTATATTATATCTAAATATAACTAATATTTATATCTATATATATATCATTGTACTTCTGAAATACTCGTTCAATTCTTTCGGTAATTACCCATTCAATTTTCGATTCGGTTCGGGTTTAGTATCGATTCTTCGGGTATAGAGGTGAAAGTTCAATACAAAAATTTATACTGGTTTTAGTTCGGTTCAATACCATAAATTCGGTTTGGTTCGGGTGGGTTTTTCGGATCCGGTTTTTTAGGGGGAAACTAAAGTTTTGGTATCAATAAAGGGTCTCCTCTCATTTAAATAATAAAAACAGCATTTACATAATACTACTAACCGGAAAAAAAATCCCCAGCCATTCTCTCATTTCCTCTCGTCTCTCCGTCTCTAAATGAAACAAAGAACATCTCCGTCACTAACCTACTCAAAACTACAGACCCAAAAAAAAACAGACCCATCACAAAAGACTTCTCCAGCTCAATCTTTAAGCCATGTTTCCTTCCACTCAAATGAAACGAGAACATTCATCCTCTTTTGTACATTGCAAAGTTGAACACAAACTGTTCTTCTTCAATGTATTGAGCTTAACCCAGCTTTTGACCCGTAATATCATCATGCTCATCTCCAGTTTTTTTTTGGCATCTTGTTAAATATCTAGAAAAAAAACATAGCGATGAGAGTTTAGCATTAGATTAAAAAAGTGATATGGTTCATTTTTTTTCTTTTCTTTACCTTCACTGTTTAGATCACTGTTCAGATCAACTGAGAGATTGGGACTTTTTGTCTGGTTTTCAGGTGACTCACAGAACGTGTGGGGATCTCCTCCTCCTCCTCCTGTGACGCTGAGGTTTTGTGAATACGCAGCTGCGTTCATCCGTGGCTGACGATTCAGAAACATCTCCAAGCTAGAGGATGCAACTCCTTGAGGAGCCTTTTTGGTTTTAGAGAATCTTCTGCTCACAAAAGAAAGAGGAACATTCAGTTAGTGTTCAACGATTCAGAGTTAAGCCTAAAGTGTTTTGAGAATTGTTTCTTTTTGGACAGAACCTGTCCTTCCGCTTTTCGAGATATCTTTGCAACGACACTTTCCTGTTCGCCTGACCCTCCACATCTTTCATAAAGACCAACAAACACACAAGAGAACGATGGTTAAACATTAACAGAGTTTTCAAATGTCATATACCAAAAGCAGAAGATGCCTAATGCAAACACAATTATGAAGGCAGGTGAATCAAAATTGTGTTTTAAGCAGGTTTCTATATTGATTAAGGTAATATGAGCACTGATTGTACCAGTATCACGAGAAGCATTTGCCTTTTCAAACCCATAATGAGGAAGTTCCACCATTTTTTCTGCAAAATGAAAACACAGTTTCATTTAATTACCGATTCTAGAGAATAGAGAAAGTGGGATTTTAAACAAGATGAAACATCTGGGCACAAAAAGGTGCAAGATGTACTCCATCTGTCAGAAAAGCTGGAGATGCAGCTCCATTCACTTTTTCCATTTTAGAAACAAAATCATTTCAAGTTTGAATCATCTACCTATCCAACTTCAAAGCAAATCAGATACTTTGGTAAAAAGCTCACCTTTACTCACGGGCCTGGAGATCATTCTACTCGATGCAAAAACACCATTTTCAGGCAAATCAATCGGATTGGCTGCAAAGTGCATGATTGACCGCGCCTGCAGAACAAATATATATACAGGATGCATGATCAAAAAAACATGCCATCAAAGGTTTGTCTTTTTTTTTTCAGGCAGGACAGAATAATGTTTTATACCCATTTTACCTTTTCAGGTGGTACACCATCATACACATTCACTTTCCCACTGTAGAATATCGTCATCTGCCCAACCAGCGCACTTGTTTCTGCCGGGCTTCTGCTGCAATATCAAAGACAAGTGAACTCGTTTGAATACCATTGGAGTAGTACTAATTCGTTTTATATAAAAACAAGCACATCATAGCAACAACACACATGTATTAAGCTTTCTATACATGGACTACTCTAAAAACTCTCATTAGTTGACTAGCAATGATCAAGTCATGTTACAACAATCCTTATTGATACTCGTTTCAACAAGAAGATGTCGAAACACCAGCTAAAAAGACAGATTAAAAGTCTCTACGATTGCAAGAACTCGTGGAAAGGATGTTCATTAACCTAAATAATGTTTCACCAAATCCACAAGCAAAGGATGTGTGGTATCAAACTAAAGCTAAGATCAAAACCTCTTGGCTTAAACAACATTCCAGGCTCATAGTACTCAAAGTGATATTACAGACAAGAATGTAAACCTGGGAGAGAGTGTCTTGTAGCTGTCTTTCTCAGCTACAAACTGACCAGAACCGCCGGAGAACTCAGCTGATCTTGGGGAGTCCCTTCTGTGGCATGAGCCGTCATCTTCCTGAAGTGGAATCCGGCCACCAGCTCCGAGCTCGTTGCTGCTTGGCTCAATCGTCGTCTGTAAAGCAACAAATTTCCATAAGTGAGCACTAACACACAAAAAAGAAACGATTCTCTACTACTTGGGAAAAATTAGATTTTTTTTCTTTGGCTTCTTTCTTCAACACGATTTCTCTGTGCGAAGAAGCTACACAAACAGTGGCAAAAGGGAAAATTCGCTCACACGAGGCGAATTCGGCGGCTGGGAAACGAGGATCTTGCGGAGGATTCCGGCGCCGGAATCGTCGCCAGGCTCAAAGAGAGCTTTGAGGGATAAAACTTGCTGGATCGCCTGAGATTTGTTCCAAGAAGGCCTGCGCATTCCTGATACGACACGTGTCAGCCGCCATTCTCGGAAGAAAAGAAAAGCAAGCAACAAGCTCTTGGGGAAGAATTTAAATTAAAAAAAAAAAAATAGAGAAATCGAAGCGAGTATATATACACGAAGCTCCTCTGCAAAATCCGAGAGGAAGATCCTCCCGGAGAAAGGAAATAAGAAACGGAAAAGACGGAGAAGGAAGAAGAGAACCTTTCTCCTTGAGGAATTTCCGGCAATCCTCGCGTGTGAGCTGAGAAATGTCCTCTTCAGTGAGTAGCTTAAGAGGCTTCTCGAGTATAGACTTGGCCGAAGACACTCCTACATCCATCTCCTCCTTCAGATTCCGGGACAAACCGGTCTCACCGGAGCTCCGGCGGAAGAGCAGTGGCGTTTTTAGTAAATAATTGGAGGGTTTGGGGGTAAAATTAGGAGAGCGAGAGAGAGAGAGAGAGAGAGGAGAAGAAGGAGAAGAAGAAGAGAAGAAAAAGAAAAAGAGTGAAGTCTAATAGTATAGTCTCTATGGGCCGCTTCAATTTGGGGGAATGGTTTTTGGAGCAGGGAAGCTCCCTAGACTGCCACGTCAGATCTATGTCTTTGTGTGTATATTATAAGCTAATCATGGCTGCTAAATATACTTACATATAATCTCAATTTTGAGATTATTTATTTTATTTTGTGTTATTTTTTTCAACTATACGTGATTCTGCTGAATCCCCTGATTAGTTTTTTTTTTGTGCGTCAAATAGTGGAAGTAAATAAAATAATAGCACTAGTGTAAAAAAAAAGTGAAATGACACACATAAGAGCAGAAAGAAAAAAAAGATTATTTTTGTTTCCGTTTTTATTAAAAGAAGAGAGAAAAAGAGTGTTGTCCTAGGGGGCGGGTGCGGATCGGATATCCGGAAATTTTTAACTATTTATGATTTGTTTCGCTTTTAATGGATATTTAATTTTATGGTTTGATTTGTACCGAAAATATACGGATATCCGGAATTTCGGATATCCAGAAAATTTAAAAATATTTACGGATATTTGCAAATATTTACATATATTTATAAATATTTAGTTTGATCCGTTTAATATACACAAAACTGAAAATATATCAATTTTTATTATAAAAAAATAGTTTTCATCTAAACTATTAAGTGAAAATAACTAAAAAAAATATTTTATTTTATAAAAAATCTATGAAACATAAACCTACAAAATTAAGATGAGGAAAAAATGACATTTTATATATAAAAATAATATTAACTATCTGAAACTTTAATATTAAACTTTAATAAAAAAATCTTTGTTGATATTTATTAACTAATATCAAATAAAATATTATTTATTAACATATTTTAAGTTTAAGCATATTATTTACTTTTTTATGATTGATTATTTAGTCATTTATTTTATATAATCAAAAGAATTTAGAAACAATTGAAAATTTAGGAAAAAAAATCTAGAGTATATTAATTAATTTATAATATAATTGATATATACATGATAATATATACTAGTATATAATAAATTTATAAAGATACGGATCGGATCGGATATCCGATATTATCTAGAAATATATTTGTGATTTGCTTCGTTTTGTACAGATACTACATTTTGCTATTTGCTTTGCTCTGAAGTTTTACAGATATCCGGATTTTCGAATCGAATCGAAGCGAATATTACGGATATTTTGCCCACCCCTAGGATCCTTTTACTTTACCCCAAAAAAATGGAATAGTGTTACATCAAACTTATTGACTATTATTTATTTAAATGGCAAGCACATACCACCAATACGTTCATCAATCATCAAGTAGACTAGTACCATCAAGTATCATATAATGGTCGGTAATTTTCTAATCAGGTTTTTCTAATTATGTTAAAGTTATGTCATTTTCTTATAATAACTAATAATTTAATTTTTATAATATATTATAATGAAAATTTAATTTTAAATATTTGTATTCTGTTATTTTATATAATTTATTTAATCGCACCACAAAAATATATTCTACAATTTTTTATTAAATTATTCTGTAGTTTAATTTTTTCTGCTATTCTCTAATTTTATTATATCACTAATTGGAATCAACAAAGAAACTAGAATGTTGACTATGGATACATACATGTGCACCTAATATTTTTTATAATTTTGATATAATTTTAAACAAATTTTTAAATAAGAGTACAAGAGTTTTTGTACAGTGGGAGTTTGTTATATTAAACGAAAAACCGTTCTCTCTCCCAGCAACACATCATTTGTACAAGTTTCTCTTCTCCGGCTGTTGCCGGTTCCGGCAGCGACCATACTCTTATTATTTCTTTTTTATTTGTTATCATTCTCTTTCTTTTTTAAATTAAAGTTTCTAATGTTGATTACCAAAGAAATCTCTTTGACAATTTATCTTCAAATTCTCTGGTTTTCTCTCTTTTTTAAGGAGTGTTTTTCTGACCATAATTCGACGACCACCTAAGAGTTTCTGTGTCGGCTTCTTTCGATTCAACTTTGTAACCGTTTTGATTTGGGATCCTGGCATATCCACTAACAATTCAGATGAACAGTTTTTGTGTAATCATAAGATTAATATGAGATTGCTTTCGGATCTAGCCAATATTAACGAAATTCAACACAGATTTGTTACTATAACGACATATCTGAAATGCATAGTTGATTCCATTAAGACAATTCTGAAATTCATTCCACAAACTACATGTTGTGATATCGAAGAGACATCACCAACTTTTTCCTTTAATCATCATCAAAGATATGTTTTCGATTCTTCCATGATCTCGCTTCGCTGGACTCAGTCTACCGTGTTTGGTTGTTGGATTTGGAAATATTTGCTGTGGAATATACAATGGAGGAGAGAGCATCTTGGTTTTTTAGTATGGTTTAGCAGATTTACAAAAATTAAAGCAGAAAATATCTCTAATAATTGGAGACAGTGTCAATTGATGAATTTAAGGAGTATAATGTCAAAATAAAACTTTGTTAGAAGGTATTGGATACCAATTCATTGGTATCTATTTGTAGAAACAGAACTTCATCAAACGAAAGTATTGGGTTTTATCATGCTCTGTGTAATTACGTGCTTTAGCTAAGAATTGCTAGCCAATCACAGTTGCGTCATAGGGAGATAACATACAGATAAGAAAAATAATTTACTTTCCAGAAGTTTTATATATCGACTTTGTAACCTCTGTCTAGTATTAATGAAATTGTTCTGACAACAACAGAAAAACAAAAACAAATTTTTATAATGCACTGATTAAAATTTCCAATTTTGTTTATATATTTTTAGTAGTGCATTCACTAAAAAAAGTTCTAATCGGAGCCTTAGATTGTTTAAAACTAAATTTAAATATGTAACCTTGCTATTTTTAGAAATGGGATACATTGTCATAATGTCATTTATTTGAATAATTCAGTATGTTCATTTACTCTCCATTGAAAGTAAAGGTTTTCAAAAAGAGAGCTTTAAGAAAATCTACTGACCTTAACACTTATACTTCAATGTTGAAATAATAAAGCACGTATAGGTTTTTAATTGACACAAATTCTTATGGTGTATCTCCAAATAATTTTTAACGGTTTGCAAACTGAATAATCTGTTAAATCAATCTATTAGTCAATAATCTACTTTTAACGGTTTGGAACTGAATCTAGTACATCATATGGATACATGTAAATTAATGAAATGTCTCACCATATTAAAAAAAAAAAATATAGGACTAGTCATTTTCGGAAGCCAATTCCAAATCAATTGAAAAATACAAGAGAGTTAATTAAAAATTGACAAGACGGATGAATGAGAAATAGATTTTCACATGCCAAAAGCCTCGAGTCTGACCAACATATGGACTCCCCCATTAACCTTCTCAATTCTCATTTTTATATTTTACTACATAGTAAGGTCCGAGTCCAAATTATATTTTCTATCTATTTAAAGTGTGACAATGCATGAAACATGCAATCCCATGATGTAGTTGACAAGATATGCATGTCTAATTTAAAGCGACAGTTAACAACTAATATATTTGAGAAAATATATAGTCTCTTAATCCATACATTCTTTTACTAATGTCCAAAAAAATAGTTAAATAAGCAAACGTGTTACTATTGTACTAACATTGTATGAGTCATGTGATATTGCAATTTTTTTTGTTTTTACCGGCCACGTTGTTTCGAAATGCATAAATTTTACTTTTTCAGACGTTGAAAGTTGATTTCGTGACTTTGAAGTCAAATCCCTTTTGAAGATCTTCTAACTCACCAGCATGTGATATTGCAATCTGCCATTAACTGCTACTTGACACTATTTATTCTATACAAAACCACTGTTTCCGCTGGCCTATAATTATACATAATAACAACAGCAAGATGACAAAATTAAAAAAACTGTTGTCGATTGCAAAATTCTCAACATGAAAAAAAAGAGATTTAGAATTGTGAGTAGTGGAAGAAACAAATTGAGGAAGAGAAGAAAAAGAAAAATAGAGTGGGAATAAGACGAGTCGTTATCGAAGAAATGAATCCACGTTGGTAACATACTAACATGTCCTTTAATAAGATGCATCTGCCATTTTTTTAGTTATTTATTTGTCTGTGTGTAATCCAGAATCCGATCCCTAAGATTAGAGATTATTAGAGTAACTTGAAAAATAAAATATCTTACGGATCATATATGAAGTGAATCTCATAAATCCGAAAGAAAAATATTTTAATATATATTCTTAAAAAAAATTCTTTATATGTTTCGAAAAGACTTTTTTTTTTTGTTAAACCTAGATTAGAGACTTTGATACCTAGATTAGAGAAAAAACAACATTTACAACGCAACTAAATTCAAAAATGAACTAGATCATACGAAAAATCCAGTTCATCAAAGTTAATAACTAGGTCGAAGCCATGGTTCTGTTTCAAATGAGAATCAAACTCGTAGTAGAAATGTTTTATACTCCTATCATACAACAATTCACCAATATAAACCACAACGATCTTGCATATGTTATTGACATTTTACTAAATTGGGGAGATATACGGTTAAATCATGTTACGTTATCGGTTACATCTCAAGTTGAGGGCCGGCTAGTATTATCACTCTATATATGACAAAAACATGTCCACGATCTGGATCATACGGAAAAAAATGACACATTTCTTAATTGCTAACATTTGCTTCAGACGTGGGGCGTTAGTCATTACCAAATACCATATTGTAAACACACAAACCCATAAAGAGAACGTAACAACAACCAATATTGTTGTAAAATTATTTGAGTTGTAAATTATATTATATATCATGGATATTTTAAGTCCATCATAATATATTTTTTGCAACTGCATGCAAAGATTCTCTATGGATATGAACAATCTACACAATCGAGTACAATAAAAAGTAAAGAAAAAGCTACTTATATTATAATAAAATATATCTATATATATATATATGGGGTTTATTTTTTCTTCAAAATAAATATGAACAGCGATTGAAGAATGGTACAGGTTTGGTTTCTGCAGGATTGAGGGGTCGCGAGTGCGTGGGTCGAGTACAGAGGATGAGTCAGACGAGTCAGGAGCTGTTTCCCCTCTTTGTAGGGACTCTCTCATCCTCCATTAATGGGCCCCGTCTTTTCATAAGCCCATTTACATCTTTTCAGTCATTTTCAGATTTTCTTCTTAGATTTGGGCCTCATCATTGTTTAATTGAACGAAAACAACTAATTGGACGACTGAAAATAATACCGTATATTATCGTCTTTTGTGATTTTTTTTATTTTTTTATATGGATTAGTCTTAGATAAATTATTTTCAAAAGGCTAAAACAATTTCTCATGACCAACCACTAAAACAAAACAAAACAGAAACAAGTCAACAACCCATGTTCAACGCACTGACATGCACATACACATAGTCAAAGATTGTTCAAAACTAATTTGGACTTTTTCAATAAATTTTACAAACCATAGTCAGTTTTTGATATCTCGGGTTTAAGATATTTTTCAACCCGCTAAAATTCACGAAATCCCTGATTTACAATTAATCGACAATGGATTAATTAAACCATATTATTTTTTTATTAACAAAGTTACTGTTTTTATTTTGATGAAGAATTCTTTTTTTTTTTGTCAAACGATGAAGAATTCTTAACCTATTCCTTTAAGACCTTTTCAGCTCAGGTATATTACTTTTCGAGCAATTAAGCTTTTATAACATGTGAAACTTCATAGTTCATTTCCAACTGAAAAGACAATACCCAAATGCACTGGCTCATATAATTATAAATATTACTTTAGGTCACACAATATTTTCGATGTGAGATTTTAATATTTTCTTAACTAGATTTTAATCTAATGAAATCATGTTGATCCAATGCTTGAATGATTTACCACTTAATTACTTAAATTGAGGAACCAAGTTTTGAATTCTTCGACTTACACTCCTATTTAGGATCCTTGTTTATATACTACTTATAGAGTTATATTAGATCGTATTAATGTATTTCTGAATATAATGAACAAAAATGTCATATATCCAACTCCGATTTTTTTTTGTGCATGTCTACGTATCTCCGGATGCGATCATGTTAAACGATATGACAAAACGAACAGAAGAAGCGTGCGTGGTACCAAAATATATTTAATAAACTGAAACTTATAATTTTTAAAAATGAGAAAGAGACAGATATCAAGAAACAATACACAAGAAAAACAAAATGAATTAATAATTGTAACGTAGGACTGAAACCTAAAAAGAAAAAAGAAACATCAAAAGGATTCCAAAATGAAAAGAAAACCTGACCAGTAGTAATTTCCATAAAACCCAACCTATTTATTTTGCCTACACACCCTGAGCCCCACTCATTAAGTTGCTCAACTATTTTGTTGTCATAATAATACTAATATAATCAAGAACCTTTATACTATCTTGTTTAAATATTTTCATTATTCAAAATCTTTTTCATTCCCAATTTTATCGATGCCCCTGAGAGGACCACTATTCAGAATCTAATATCTATAAACTAGAAAAGAAAAAACTGCAGTACCCATAGTTTGATTTAAGCACGAGCAAATTATTCGACTTACTGTCTTGAAATTTTGGTTCATGATTGGTCCATGAGCTCTTAGAACTTTGGAAACCGGAGGAGCATTTTCGTAAGCTGTATATGTTTTTTAGGATTATGCTAAAATCAAAGAAAGTTTGCATTTTATTTTATTTTAACATTCACATACATATTTTTAGAAAATCAACATTTAATACTCAATAATTTTTATATTAGTGATTTTATTTATTCGAACTCTAAGTAATAGGGTTAAATATTAGTAAAAGTGTTATAATTGTCTAGTACTTCTAAGAAACAAAAAAAAAAGAAGTAACTTATCCGTTTTATATTTAGACATCATTTGAGGTATGAGGTATCTTGAAATTCATTAGCTTAACGGGTTGGTATTGAGTGAAGTCTCACTCAAGTATAGTTGTAGGTATATTAAGCAAAAGAGAAATACAGTCAAATAGAAAGAAAACAAAAGAAAAAACATAGCAATTTGAATTTAATATTTGGATTCTAAAGCAATTCATGGGTCTATTCTATTACACTGTTCACACACTCTCTCTATCTTAAGTTTCTTTTGACTTAAGACCAAATGAATAACCCCAAACCCCAAACACACAAACATAAACCCAAAAAAATCTCTCTCAGAAGAGAAAAAACAAATAACCAAACACTTGTCTCTGCTAACGTGCGCCTCCTTCACCGTTCTTGCTAATGGGCGCCCTCCGTCGCCGCCGCCGCCGCTTTCTCTTAGCTGCACTCGCAGCATTTGCTCTCCTACGCCTCTTCTCCGCCTCTGCAGTCTCCGCCGGTAAAAACCCAATAAACTCACACTCTGTATTGCAAAAACGTTATTTTCTTGCAACTCGAACTTTAAATTTCTTGATTTTCTAAGGTGCTTTCATACTCAGCTCAGTAACTTTTGGTTTGATCAGTAAATTATGGTTTAATTAACCAAAGAAAGCCACATTTTTATTTTTACATATCTTTGATTAACCAAAGAGAGCGAGTTAACTCGGTGGTTAAACCAGGTGGATGGCTTGGTGAGAGAACTGGGTCGGATTTAATGGGGAGTAAGCGGTTTGGCGGACCGGGTTCGTCACCACCGACGTGTAGATCGAAGTGTGGGAAATGTCAGCCATGTAAACCGGTTCACGTACCGATTCAACCCGGTATGAGTATTCCATTAGAGTATTACCCTGAAGCTTGGCGGTGCAAGTGTGGCAACAAGCTCTTCATGCCCTAGATTAATTATTTATTAAACAATTTTTTTTAAAGTGTTTTATTCCTTTTGTTTTCTTTTTTCTCTCATCATTTCCCTGATTAATTGTTTTAATGAAATCTATATGTTAATATAAAAAGAAATTGGTCATCATGTGAAGAAATTGAGGACTTTGGGAAAAGGCAAATTTTTGGTGGTGATATTACCGAGAAAGAGAGAGAGAGAGTGAGAGAGTGTCCTCATCTCTTTCTTACCCTAATAACACTTGCTCCATTGTAGAAGCAATTAATCTTACAGGCGTCTAATTTGGGTAGTGTTTTTATCTTTCTATAGTAAAATAAAAAATGTTTTATTTTTTGAACATTAGTAAAATAAAATGTTATATACAAACCAGTAAGACAAAATGACAAAAGGTTTAGTTTAGACAGCTGTGAAAAAGAAAAGTAGATGAAAAATCAAATGATATAGAAACTAGAAACATTGACTGTAAATTTGTTACTAGATACTCCTGTTTTAAAATAAGTGTTACTTTGACACTTTTCACATAAATTAAGAAAATTAACAAAAAGTTTTTTCTATCTCTAATAAATACACTAAATAACTCTCTCTTTTTAATTAATACACTAAAGTAACAAGGTTAAAACTGGATATTTTGTTATAAATTTGCATTGGAAACCTAAAACGATATTCTTTATGAAACGGAAGAAGTATTAGTTATTATTTATAACTGATGTATTTGTATTTTAGTTATATATTAAAATCACCCTAAATTTATTTTTAAAATACATAAAATTTAATATTTTTGTGCTGATAAACAAAAATTGTAGAATTGAAATGCGGAAATGTGAAATATGGATTACGATTCATCACATCACAAAAAATTAACAGCAATATTAATGAGATATTATTCTTACAAAAGTATTAAAAATATGTTATACTATCTTCTGTAGTTGACTGGAACTATCTGTCTTTGTAAATTAAATTACTTGATTAATTTTATTTTAGTTAGAGAAAAATACATTGGTGAATTTTATTTTTTCTTTAAACTTGTTGTCACTTTACAAACTACATTAGTGAATCAGTTGGAAAAAAAAACCACCATAAAAATTGTATTGATGAAAGTTTTGTTGTTTTCTATTTTGTGTTATCAATAAAATGAGCGATTTGCCCCTTATTTTCGAACAAAACCCTCTTAACAAAACAATACTAGTACTTTATTTGTCTGCTAATGCATGTTTGTTTGGACCCATAGGTTTTGTCCCTCGACAGCTATGTAGATTTCATTATTGCTCTTTGATGATAATTTTGTAAGGTAACAATATAAACCATGATTAATATTTATATCGTACTTGCACGTGTAAGTAGACAGCAGGACCATTTGAACCAGGAATGAAGAAAACAAATAATTATCGCAACGAATGTAAAAAAGTAGTAAAAGCATTTATGGTTTGGAGTTTTTCCCAATTTCACTACAAAGCCGCATATGTACTCGTGTCGTACTGCATACTCTGTTCCTTACATATAAGTTTGCAATATCTGAATTAACTTCCCTCTCTCTCTTTTTTTCTTCCTTTCCTAATGAGATGTCCCAGTAATTTTTGATTTTAGTATTTGGAAAAGTATCTGAGTTCTGGTCTCATATTTAAACTTGATTTTACAATTTTGGCTTCAAATATTGAGGGGAGAAAAAGAACCACCGGCCTATATAAAGGATAAACAATAATTTATGCGTTGTAGATACCTAAAAAGCGTAATAGTTACAAAAAAAAAAATTGGATAAGTTTGAGAATGATGGTTTATCTTATACAGATGTTTTACGTGTAGATGGTAGATAGGCTATGAAACGTAACTTTGTAACGTTTTGGTTTACTAATAATAATTTGTTTGTATAAGACAATATATGGACATCAAACCGAGAGAAACATTTTTTTTTCTATTACAACTACATCAAACAACTCTAACAAATCACATCATTTGGAGTTTAAGTTCTTTGATCTTGTGTAAAAATTATTCTTCACCGGCAACAAGATAAATTTTGCTTTGCGAAAAGATATGTACTACTTATTATGATTCTTCTTATCTTTTTTCATGTAGAATCTTATAAGTTTATTTTAGCACAATGAAGAAAGATATCTGTTGAAAAGATCAAAAAGAAAAAGAAAGATTTTTACAGAGATTCTCCAACGCGTACGGTCATGATGTATTTCCCTTCTGCATTCTTATGTATTTGACTTTCTCCTTTTGCATTTAATTCATAAGAAACTTAGAAAAATAAAATGTTTATCGTTTACCCCAAACTAAGAAAATAAGCAGCTATATTTTCACGTAAAAAAAAATCCTTTATTATAATTGCTTATACGTACTACTTTTAGTTCAGATTCCATGATCGTAGACCATATTTATAAAATTATCATCATGAGTTTGATTATGAGCTTTGTAAATATGGATATACGTAACCATTTACTAACTTCTAACCACTGTCCTATATATTAGTCGTGTGGGCCATTTGTACTCTATTGAAACGTTGACTAATAATAACAACTGCATGGTGTTAAATCATAACGAACACCTTTGTTAGATTTTTATATACTTCTTTATTTGTTTTCTCTAAAACAGAAATTTAATTGAGAAATGTGTATTTCTCTTAATTTGATATGATGTTACGTTATCTATACGTGAATGTGAGATCATTAATATCCCACCGACGTGCCAAATAACAGAAGGGGTCTCTTGCAGAATTTTGTAGGGTTTTTTTTGTACTGTATATGTTCTTGTGCATTTAGAGTAATAAATCCAAGTAAACAGAAACAAAACTGAGAGGAATGTATTGTTTACCAAGGGTAAAAAAAAATGTTTAATGCCAATGTTGAAAACCTGAAAGTTAGAAAAATGAAACAAAGAGGTAAAACAAGAGTTTTGAAGCAGCGATGTGTCTGTGTTGTCTTGTATTCCTTTTCAGATCAAATGATACTATTGTTTTTTTTCAAATACACAAACTAATTGAAACATACTGGTTTCAGACAGTGAATAAAAAATCAAACCAAAAAGCATTAGAAGAGTTAATCATCAAGTGTTTCATTCACCCATTTTGACTCTCATATGGTTGGTGTTGGGAAAATCTCCAAACCCAAACAGAACCTTCTCTCCTGATTCACATAAAATCCAGAAACCTCACAGAAATTTTTGGACACTTGTATATGTTCTAGATCAGAAGACACGAAGGCATAGTAACAAAGAGACACTTCAAGGGTTATCGCAGAAGCTAGGAAGAAGATATGTTACTTGTATATATATACGAAAGCTTCACTTTCTGTTCCAAACACATATTCAACCACGACATAAGTTTTAAATTATGTTTTGATTTTTCTCTCGCACACCTTCAAACACAGAATCATAGAATGAAACCTAAGAGCAAACAAAGATTCATTTAATATTTTTGCGTGATGTACTTGAAGTTTTGTATTTGTTTACTCTTAAACCGCCTTGTATGTCCATTTAAAATATTCGTTTCTGGTACTTTTGCCTCGTATCTAAAAATATAAAGGAAAATATATGTTTATATAAAGAGGAAACTGTAAATAACGTCAAAAGGGTTTGGAAAAGAAAACAATAATCAAAAGAGATTTACAGAGATGAGACTGATGTGATGGGTTTGGTTGGGTTGGTGCTGGACTGTACAGACATTAGCTTCCACTTTTTCTGTAAATTATTTTTTCACTCTCGAACATTTTTTTTTTTTTTTTTTTTTTGAGAATAACTTTGTTTGTCCATTCAACGAGGAAAAATCAGGATATTGTTCATACTAAAAATGATGTAGTAAGGCATACCAAAATGCTTTTTGGCTCCACTAAAATCAATCTTGGTATTATTAATTAGTATGTAAATTATATCAGACGTTGATAAAATAAACTTACGAATATTACTATGGAATAACGGCCAGAAACCACATAAACTCTTTTTTAATGGATCAAAGAAAACACCATTTTTTATCTTTTACATTATACTAAAAGATTTGGCCAAAACCTACTCAAACTGTTAGAATTCCGACAGAAAATTTTACACCGTCGAAACCAATAATTGTGGTTTAGAAAGAAAAGGAATTCTATACCATGAACAAAAAAATGTAAAAGCAACAAATAAATGAGAGTATGATTTGTTTTTCACACAAGCGAACAAGCAACAAATAAATTAGAGTATGATTTAATTGTGTTCCCATTTTTTAGATTCTTATTTAAGGATCAAAAAGGCAAATATCTAGCAACTAAGATGATTATTTGAAAGCTATAAAATGAACAGAAACGAGAAGCATAATATACACATATGGATGTCATCAGTGTTATTAATTTATTTTAGGAATCATAATAATAACTTGATAATGGTGCTAAGAACCAACAAACAAAGAATTAACGAACGTGGTCAGTTTAAAAAGAAAAGAACAGAAAAATGAGAAGTGCATTGTCAAATCTATCGCATCAAATGATACTTTTTCATATAGTTTTAGATAAACATCAGAGAACAGTCCTTGAGTAGGTTCATAGACACCGTCCTACACTTGGAAACTTCAATAAATTCTCATATACCCCACTTTTAGTATTTTATTAGTTTCTTCATGCAAATGAAAAACTTCAATAAATTCATTCATTGTAACTTTTCTCTTATTATGAGAATCCAGTCCAGTGGGCTTTAGTCTGTTGTAGCCCATAGTTAACAATACACTTCAAATGGGCCAACTATTACGGATTCGGTCCTTCGTTCCTTTTATTGTTTCAGACCCTGATTACACATTTGCTCGTGAAGAAAATATTAAGTAATCATCTAAAATAAGTATTCTTCTTAGATTTTCCACCCTCATATTTAACATTTTCATGCCATTTGGTATTAACAATTAATAATCAAATACCATAGGATCTGACTGCTTATTATTTGCTAAATGATTCTAAAGTTGCTAATAATTAAAGAACAAAAATCTACCAAAAAATACTTGTTTTCAATATCAAAAATAAGAGAATATTGGAATACGATTTGTTTCTCGGCATATCTTTTTTTTTTTTAATGCCTACGTATTTTTTTGGGTGTATACTGTAAAGTGAGGTTTCTATAACTCTTATAAAACCATACATTCATTACTCTTTTCAACTCGCTAGATAGTGAGTGATAGTCATGCTAAATATCCCATTGAAGTAATTTGTAGTTGTTACAATAAAGAAACAAAAACAGTTGTATTAATCTCTTAGAACAATTAAATATGCCCCGTATAGCTATATGCCCGAGTAGCTAAATTGACATTATATTATCTCCATCCCTTCATTTATTTATTTGACTTATGGGTTATTAATTTATTATATAGACGCGTAGAATAGTAGAACCTCTAAAATCATCTAAACTCCGAATACACATTTTTGGACACTATGCGTTGGATCACTGCATGCATGCTTTGCACCTATAATGCTTAATCTAAGAATTCATCCAAATTATTGTTGAATTAAAAGGTTAAAATGACATGACATAAAAACAAATCCTTAGTCATATAAGCATATGAATTACATTAGTTAACAATATATGCTAAACGTTACTATATAATTAAACTCCACCAAAAATCTATTTATATAAAGTATGTTCAGGTAAGACGAATTGTTTCAATGCATGTCTTTCTTTTTTTAAGGCCAATGTATAGTTTAGGGTAGAAAGTGAGATTTCCAAAACTCTTATAACTCTCATATACATTCATTCATTACACTTTTTAACTCACTAGGCTTGTCATAGTCATGGTAAATAAATATTTTAAGTAATTTGTGGTTGTTACATACAACAAACAAACCATTAACAAGGCATGGTTGGTATCAAATAATTATGTAAATAAGTAAGTACTAATCTGCTAGAATAATTAAAACAATACTATGTGCATTTTACAACTATATCCGAGTTAGCTTATCTATTTATAGTACCACAAACTTTATTCCGTACAGTGTGGTCCCCTTTCTATTCCCATGCAATTTCTCGAGATACCACGACTACTACACACAAAGGCAAAGGCCTGGCTGCACCACGTGTCGTGATAGAATTGGTTCGTCTTGAGAATTACAGTGACGGAACAGTGACTGAATCATGCTCACCTTTACTTTCCCCCGGCTGTGTGTTTGTTGTTGGTAAACACAGTCAATAACCATTGAAACCCTCGTTGATCGCACGCCACGTGTCTATATCTAATTGGGTCGTTCATAGTGAAGGAACAGTATCGTCACTTTCCTGGAAATTTCCTTCCGAGAGAGAAAAAGCAAAAACCTGCAACAAAGCCTTATAACCTCTCTCCCTTCTCTGATTCTTTTTACTTCTGTGCTTTAGTTTTTCTTTTGATTCAGCAACAACAATGGCGAAATCTGACATTGAGAGTGGTGGAGTGATCACTGGTAACGAGCTGTATCCGAAGATGACGGAGAGCTCCGAGCTCCGTTGGGCCTTCATAAGGAAGGTTTACACGATCTTGTCTCTTCAGGTGATTCTCACCGTCGGAGTCTCTTCCGTCGTCTTCTTCGTCCGCGAGATTCCAGATTTCATCACGACGACTTATTACGGACTCGGCGTCTTCTTCGTCTCACTCCTTCTTCCTCTCCTCAGTTAAGTTTCTACTTTTTTCACTCTATTATCCACCGATCGTTGCTTATTTTTGTCCCATTCACACACAAAAAAAGCTTAGGATTCGACCGATTGATGATTTCACACTGATCTGGATTTAATGGAGTTTTGATTGTTTGTTTCGTAGTGTTGTGGCCGTTGATTGCGTTTCAGAAGAAGCATCCCATCAACCTCATCATCCTAACGCTCTTCACTCTCTCCATCTCTTTCGCTGTTGGGCTTTGCTGCTCTTTCTCTAAAGGTATGGCTCTCTATATATTGTCACAGAGATCTCTCCATTCTTTGTTCTGCTTGTTGCATTGTGAGTACTGTTGATCAAACACAGATTCATTCTTAAGCATTTTCCTCTGGAATGTTCTCTGTTTGAAAGATCATGTTAGCAAGTTTCATTGTGATGATTTAGTGTTGCATCCAGATTTCTGATCATATATAAAAGTTGGACTTGATCATATATATAGTGCCATGTTTGGTTTAAAGATGATTCATGCTCATATATCTCTCTGTTTCTACATCTATTGCAAGATCATCTTAGCAAGTTTCATTGTGGAGGATTTAGTGTTGCATCCAGATTTCTGATTTACTTGCACTTGATCATATATAAAAGATGATTCATGCTCATGTTTCTCTCTGTTTCCATATCTATTACAGAAGAATGTGATTGAGTATAGTATATACATTGTGTTAGATAGCTTAATTAACCTCGATTGATAATTACTTATCTGAAAAACAGGGAGGATTGTTCTGGAAGCTGCAATACTCACTGCTACAATGGTCTTAGGCCTAACAGTCTACACTTTCTGGGCGGTGAAGAGAGGCCATGACTTCTCCTTCCTTGCGCCATTCCTCTTCGGTGCTCTCCTTATCATCCTCGTCTTCTCTCTGATTCAGGTATAGTAAACAACTCACTTTTAACTCTCAAAACTATATATTCAGATTCATATTTATAGTGTTTGAGAGAAGACATTAAAACATTTGTGATACAAAATGCAGATATTCCATCCTCTCGGGAAGCTATCGTCGATGATATTTAGCGGTATAGCTGCAATCCTGTTCTGTGGCTACATCGTCTATGACACGAATCGGCTTATCAAAAAGCTCGAGCAGGACGAGTACATCAGTGCTGCGATTTCTCTTTATCTAGATATCGTGAATCTGTTCCTCAACCTACTCGGTATTGCCACCGTCAACAGTTAGTGTCTTTGTTAAACACATATCCTATCTGCGAATGTTAAGCTACTTAGAACGTCTCTTATATATAATGTTAAAGACTTTGTGTTTAAGGTGTTCCTTGTTACTCAAGTAATCTCCAAAATATAATGGAGAAACCTGCTTAGTACTACACTCAATGCACTCAAAAAATGTTTTTTTACAGTAGTAAAAATTGATAACTTTATAAATAGATACAATCTGCTAAAACCGAGTTCTATTTTTGTAATGTCGAAAATCAGAAAGAGGAAAAGAATGTAGAAAAATTGTTTAGTTTGGACTTTGGTATAAGTTGATCTAAACCCAATGAGCGGTTTAGTTAACTCAAACGAGTCAGATTCATTTACTGTTTTTGAGAGACATTAAAATGAAAAATAAATATTGATATTGCGATTGTTGATGAATGATGGTTTCAGAAACTCACATGATAGGTTTTGAAACACTACCAAACAATTCTAATTCTTATGATACACACTTATTTGTCTTCTTCTTATTAGTACAATAAAATATGTGCAGCTTCTCAGTATATTTTTTTCAGCAATAATGAGACAAAACCGAAGCATATTTGATGTTCCCAATATATATGGATATGGAAAATGGACCCATCAATAATAAAATATATAACTTTTACTTCCAACTTTGTTTTTTGTTTTATACAATAAGACCACCAACAAAAAGAACCCTACGAAAAGAAAAATTACAGATCACCCCCTAAGTTTTGTTTTACGCAAACCAAACCCTCTCCCACCTTCGTGTTGAAACTTTGACTGGTAGGTCCGTCCATTACATTCCTATACCCATCCCAAAAAACCATTACCTTAAAAAGAACCCCTAAAGTTTTCCAAAGTTTTAATTTTACCTCATAAGTTAAAAAACACACCAAAACCAAAGCAGCCTTTTTTAAAGTTTATTCACATCCTAAATCTCCTCTCAGCAGCAACAACAAGCAGCCTTGAGACACCTTGTGTCCACATCTCATACTCCCTCTGGCTCTTGCACTCGAACTCCACATCACCTCTCAGAACAGTCTTCAAACCAAAGTATCTCAGATCATCTCCTCCTTCCAGCAAATGTCGTCCAGGCCAAGCAGGGACATTCTTGATCACTTCAAGCACAATGTCTGAACAAAATTGGGAACAAAGTTAAAATTATTAACAAGGAGTCTTCAAGTTCACATTCAAAAGAATAGACAAAAAGTAAAAGATTGAGGGCCACTCTTGATTTGATCTTATATAGTTTACTTTAGTCTCTCATACACTTTTGCTTTATTGTCATTTTTTCCTCTTTTTCTTCTCAAATCCCCAAATCCAAAGCAGACCCACATCAAAATTTTGAATTCTTTTTAACAGGGTTCACATATAATTGACAGGAGGTAGTGACAAAAAATAAAGCTTTCAACTTTGGTACTATGAGAGATATCAAACTAATTAATCAGAAACATTCTTTGTTTTAAAACCCCATTAGAAGAATAAACTTTAATGTCATGGAAGGAATTAGATAAATCCTACCAATCTTTTCAGGTTTTAAATGCATTGTTTATGAAATGAGATGTTATATGTAAATAAGAGTAAAATAATCACGTACTCTTTTTCTTCTTGGTGAAGGTTTTTCCAACATGCTTGCTCTTCATCTTCAACATAACCTTCAAGTTCAAATAATCAAAACCATCAAAACAAATTTGTGATATTCTCAAAAGAGAAGTTGAAGGCAAAAGACAAAAAGTGGATCCCATAACTTCATTATCATCATCATTCTCATAACAGTGCTTTTTTTTTTAAGCTTTAGTTTTTGTTTCTGCTTTCTCTTCTTTTCCTGCTATTTTGAAATCTACTTTTTTCTCATCTTTTTGTGTGTTTCATATAACAAAGTTAACATCCATGTGAAGTAAGCTAAAGATTCCCACTGATTCACAAATAATTTGGCTCTCTTTAATCTTTTTCATCAGATCAACGATCATGTCTAAAGTGAACCGAAACTCGAGACAGCCATAGGAATCAATCTTTTACCTGATTCGTCTTGTTGATGTAAACAGAAACTATTTTCCAGTGGAGATCACCTGCAAAAGTTCACACACAACATTAAACAAAAAGATCAAAGAACTAAAACGTAAACTAATAAAGCAAAAAAAACTTGAATTCTTGTTTACCTTTGCGAGTGCGTTTGAGAAGCTCGCAACCTCTAGCGAGCCATTCTCTGCTACAAGTTCCCAAGAAATTCTCCTGTTGTACAAGCTCACCACTGTGACTGCTGCTCGAGCTTCCATTGCTACCATTAACATTATTGCTGCATCCTCCAGTGGAAGTGAGTCCTTTGTCCATTGGAATCACTGATGCAATGTTCCACACTTCCTTCATCGCCCTCGCCTTCAATGTCGCCACTCCTCTTAACGCTGCACCAAAATTACAATCAAATAACCCAATATTAACTTTGATTTCTTCATAAAGTTCCAATTTTGAGCCAATCCCTAAACCAGTTCTCACATTTTCTTCATCAAAACCAGAACTTTAGCAATCCCCATTAAGTATTAAACATGTTTCACCTAAAATCAAAGCTTTTATCAAAACCCATTACACATTTTTGAAGTTACAAGATCAGTTCTTACGTTTTCTTCACCAAAATATAACAAATGATTCGATTTCTTCATCAAGTTTCCAACTTTTTAAGTCAAATCAAAATCCCAAGATCAATTCTTTGCGTTTTCTTCATCAAAATGAAACCTTTACAAAATTCATAAGAAGTTACTGAACCTGTGGCTGCTCCGGCGGTGAGAGTCATGATATCTCCGGCAGAGCGAACATTAACAGCGGAGCTAACAACAGAGGCCAAATGCTCTCTCTCAGCTCCCATTACTTCAGCAGCCTCCACACACTGAGCAGCAACAAGTGTAGCGGCGGAAGCAACCGCCATGTCGGTTTTAGCCATCTGCTCATCCTTCCCGGAGCTCGAAGACGCGGCGGTGGCTGCTGCGATGGCAGCAACAGCTGCAGCCACACCGGCGACGGAGACAGCAGCGTGAATCTGAGCGTTGTGGGCCCGAGTCTCCTCTTTCTTCTTCTCCCTCCGGTCCTTAAGCCACCGTCCCACCGTTTTGGACTGTGTCGCCGTTGCGGTTATAGGTCCCGGAGTAGTCGCCGTTGATCGGAACTGAGAGTTAATGCTGTTCAGTGAATTGTTGTTTGCTCGACAAAATTGCTGCATAGTAAGTCAAATTTAGGGATTCGCCAGAAACGGATAAAGAAATTAATGAAGCAAAATCTAAAAAAGGAAAAAACTTGAAAGAGTGATGAACAAGAAAAAGACAAAATCAAATCAAGTAAAGGGGATTGCTTTAGGCCAAAGTGTCATTAAAATAATAAATAAAATCAACCCAAAACCCAGAAATTCAATCTCCAAACAATCGTGACTAAACAAACAATTAATTAAGAAGTTTAATTCTAATAAATAATTGTATTTGTATCCAATGAATAATCATCGGAAACAGTAGTGGAGAGAAAAAAACATGATCTCTGGGTATGGTTGGATAAAGAGAAAGGTATGTTTATTTCACTGTCTCTCATGTAACCAAAATTGTCAGTGACGCAGTAAATATTGAAACATTTACATAGCGAGAAACGCAAAAACAATGTTTGCAGAAACCCAGAAAGTGCTTTACTAACAATTAACCCAGATTTTTTTTCACACTAAAAATGTTTAATTTTAAGAAAGAGGATTCAAACCTTGATGTCGTCGGATTCTGGAGGAGACACAGGAGGACTGTCGGTTAAAGAACCGTTGAGAGGACCACTACTATGAGAAAGCCGACCAGATGTTCTTGGTGACACTTCTTGCTGCAAAACAAAATAATTATTAAAAAAAAAGATGAAGAAGATGAGACAAAAGCAGAATCAAGAAACTGTTTGTTTGAGAGAGATGATGACAAATCGAAAAACTTGTGATTATTGTTTACAGGGTCCCAGATAGCGAGTGTGTAGATATGTATAATCGTACAATATCTTTTTTTTTGTTTGATTAATAATTACAATTATTGCGCGTGAAAAAAAAAATCATTCATTAATAGTGAGAGATTGCTTAAATTGAAACTCGATTTTGGAAATTTCTATGAAGATGGAAGAGAACAAAAAAGAAGAACAAAGAAATTAAGAAGAATCTGAGGACAAAAACAAAAAAGAGAAACCGAAAGAGATTAATAAAATTTGTCAACATCTAACAAAAGAAATGCTTCGTTTTGTCCGCAAATGCTCTGTTTTTTATCTGAAAAGGAAAGAAGAGAGAAGAGACTTACAGAGTGAGACAAGATACGATCCATGACCATTTGAGAAGTTTCGGAAGAAGCGAAAGAGAAAGGGTTTCCGGAGACAAGTCCGTTCTCCTCCGTATCGCCGTCGCCGGAGATGGGTTCCTCTTCCGTCTTAGAGAGGAGAATCTGGGGATTCGAAGGTGTTAAAGCCTTTGAGACTTCGAGGGCTGAGACGCTCCAGGAGCGAGCGAGAAACTCCATCGGCTCAAGCGGCGTCTCCGGTGGCCGGTAAACCGGGTCGGGTCTCCATGTCGGAACCATGGGTTGTTCCATTCTAGACAGAGAGTAAGGAAGAGACAGAGAGAGAGAGAGAGACTTGAAAGAGAAAGGGAGAGAGAGTGTTGGGGAGGGTTTTGATGGAAGTGAAAGGTTGTCAATGGAGTGAGATTTATAGAGTGACAAGTGACAACGAAGCTATTTTATCACTCTGCTTTTTCTCTTCCGTTTATTTTGCTTTTTCGCTTACTCTCTTTCTCTCTCTCTCGTTCTTTTGCGATAAAGAAAATTACAGTAAATTGCCCGTTATTTTTACATTTTTTTTATTATCCAAAAAATATTAAATTGCATAATATTATCCAAATACATTTAATATTTTTTGTATTTGCATATGTAGGTAGGCTAGTATCCGAGTAATTTTCGGGTTTTTCAATTACTTTGGTGTATTACGTTTCAAACCCGTAAACATGTTCCAAAAAACAAAGAGAATCAGAGAGTTTTTTTCTTTTCTTATAAATGTCCAACCTAAACAAAACAAAGAACATAAAATATAAGGGACAAGAGTATAAAATTAGATTTACAATATTTATTCAATACATATATATTTCTATTGATTGTCATCTTTTATTAACACAAATTGAAAAAGAACAAACAATTTAAGTAGATAAATATAGAATGTGTTTAATTTTTTTTAATAAAAAATTTAAGTAAACTATACTATGATCTGATTTTCAACCAAAAATGTATTTAGGAGTTATCCTATTTAAAAATTTAAGATGTATCAATGAGTTTGAGAATATAAATATATTTTAATCAATATATTACAGTGCACATTTAAAATTTTAAACAGCAAATTATATTTAAAAGCTATTTTTACATTAAATTTTCTAATTTTTAATATTATATGGATAATGTAGAAGATATTTTGTGATATTACAAGATATACACCTTAGTCAAGTAGATACTATAATTATTACATTTAACTTAAATATAAGTTTAATATATATATTGGTAGAAAAATCCATTCAATATGGTTTTTATAAAAAAATTGAATATGGTTCGACAGACTGCAGACAAGATATTGCAGACACTCTAAATCAATGTAAAAATCTGACGCTAGGATAATTGATCATTTTTTAGGATGCAGGTTTATTCGACGGAGTATGGGAAAACAATAGAAAAGCAGTTTGAAGTAGTATAAATAAGATTTCACAATTTATAAAAAAGAAGATCGGTCGAGTGGACGAAAGATCAAGATTAGAGAGAAGTAGAAAAATAAAATACTAGAATAAGAGAAGAAATGGCTAATGAGCCTTTAAGGGATCTCACTATGACGGAATACCCTACGTCGGAATATTTAAAAGCTTTTACCTAACGTCTCCGACTAGACATAACCGTCTTTGGATACTGTTTCGCAAATTAATTCTGAAGACATGTCTGAAAATGTATAATCTCCTTCTTCACACATTTTATCTGTCATGAGAAATCTCAATCTATTCTTATATCGATTTATGACTTCCTCAGTCACCATTAAATAGCAGATCTACTCCATAATTCATCTAAAATTCACCCTTCTAAAAATTTGTTTCCGGTAAAACATTTTAAATTTGGACGTTGAAGAATTTTTAAAAAGGAAAACCCTTTACCAAGTTATATGAACACTACTCATCTTCAATGGATGAATTCATAAAATAAAGTTCACTCAAAACCACAAACACACATCTTATAAACATCTCGTAAAATCAACACAACAATAACATTCATGTCTCTCCATAGTTTGACACATCAGTTTTTTGAAGCTTTATAAACATGACACATCAACAAAAGAATCACCAATCAAAATATTTTATGAATATAACTCATCTACTTTTTAAAAATTTTAAACTTAAACCCATTAAAAGTCCAAATACCTTTTCTATTAATCTTTGTTTTATTTTTTACCAAACACAGCAAATAAAAAAAATTATTTTATTTTTTTACCAAATTCAAGTCCAAATAATAAATAACAACAAATAAAAAAATTAAATTTTTGTTTTATTTTTTGCCAAACCCAAACTCAAATAATAAATAACAACAAATCAATAATAATAAAAAATTTCTAACTATCTGTTTGTTTGACATAGACGTATATGATTGAAAAAAGTGTAGTCTTAACATCAACCATGTTTCGACGAGAAAACAAATTTTTTTGGCTTTGGCGGGAATAAGAAATTTCTCTGTTTTGCTGGGATCAGAGGATTTTTTGATTTCAGTAGGAAAATGTGATTTTCAGTTTTGGTAGCAAAACTCTCGGGTTCGGCGGAAAAATGTGAATTCTTGGTTTTGATGAGAAAAAAATGATTTTGACGGGAAAACAAAATATCTTAGTTTTGACGGGAAAATGCGATTTTCGGTTTTGATGCGGAATGAAACTTTTCAATTTTGACAAAAAATGTGATTTTTCAGTTTTGATAGGATATGCAAATTTTTGACTTTTGACCGATTTCTTAGTTTTCATGCAGAAATGTGATTTATTAGTTTTTACGAAAAATTGCAATTTAATGATTTTGGCAGAAAATACAATTTCTCGGTATGATGGAAAAACAAAATTTCTAGGTTTTGGCAAGAATAAGCAATTCTCGGTTTAGATGAAAAATGCAAATTTTCAGTTTTTGACGAATAATGTGATTTTTGGGTTTCGCGAGAAAATGCGATTTCTTAGTTTTCGCGGGAAAATACAATTTCTTAGTTTTTGCTGGAAAACATAATTTCTCGAGAGATAATGCAATTTTTGGTTTTCGGGGGAAGTTTATTTGTTTTGGTAGGAAAGCGTGATTCTTAGTTTGACGAGAAAATGATTTTTTTTTTGTTTTGGCGGGAATAGACGATTTTTCGGTTTTTGCAGGAAAATAAATTTATTGGTTTGGACTGAAAAATACTTTATTTTTGTTTTTGCTGAAAGATGAAATTTTCGGTTTTAGTGAAAAAACGTTATTTGTCGGTTTTGGCAGAAAAACACAAGTTTTTACGGAAAAATAAAATTTTAGGTTTTAAGTTTGACGAAAGAATAGTTTTTGTTGGTTTTGGTGGGAATATGCGATTTCTCAATTTCTTGAGCAAATGAATTTTTTTTTGGTTTGACGGAAAATACGATTTCTCGGTTTTGTAAGAAGGTGAAATTTCTCTATGCTAAATTTCCAAGTTAAAGAATGTTAAAGTAGCCAAAATTTAATTATTTAACTTTAACTAAAACGATATTTCAATAGTTCAAACATAATTTTGTATTTAGTTCTAAAGCAATAGCAATAGTTTTTGTATGAATGTTTTTGATTATAATTTGGTAGTTTTAGAAATATATGTTTATAATAAATATTTGATAAATAAATAAATTTTATAATTCACGATAATCATATAAAAAATGACACTTTGCTTTATATAATTTAAAGAAGGATCAAGTGGCAATTTATTAGAGAAAATAGATTATATTTACCATTAGCATACTAAAAGTGCATTTTTTATTCTTACATATACATTTATAATAAGTTAGCTAAAAAAATTTAATAGCAAATTATAATTTTGAAAAATAAAAAATATACAATATTTATGAGATTTAAAACATATAAATATATAACTTAAGATAATAAAAAAATATAATACTTATTTATATTATAAAATAATTTTATTATATTAAAAATATATATAAAATTTAGAAAAATATATAGCAGCGTAGTGCTGATAAATATCTAGTATTCTCAAAAATATAATCTCTAGTCAATGTAATCAAAACAGTAAATTGTTGCCATCAATTTAAAAATACTAAAGTAACTACAATGAATATTATTAAATAAAGGGAAAATAAGAATAAATACAAAATATGTTAGATTTAATTGGTAAAGCAAAATATTTAGTTATCAAACAAAATTGTATTTAAAATTGACCTTATTTAAAATTCTGAAATGTACTGAAAAGTTTTTTGTTTTTTCTGTAAGTAACTGACATACTAATTAGTAATATGATCTGGTTTACTCTGAAAAGGGGTTCAGCAAGTGAAATAAAACTTTAAGATTATGTATACATTAAAAAGTTTTCTTCGAATCAAATACTATAAATTCAAATGATCCGAAAAGCATAAGATTTAAAGTATGCTAAGTTTCGTCAAAATGTTCTTGCCATCTAGTACGTGGTACTCGTTCCTTAGTCTTGCCCAGTAAAACGGATAATTTCAATAAAATTATTAAAAAAATTTGGTAGATAAACAAACACACATTCATTTATAAAGATTTTTTTTGGTTAACCGTCGGTATACTATCCGAGACCGAAATCCAAACTAAATCCACGAAATCCATAGAAATTCGAGTTTTCTTACGTATTCATTTTGACAACTTGTTGTATTCTATTTGGAATGTACGAGATAATAAATATGCGCAGCTGTTTAAACGTTTATTTTTTTTGTCACGTTTCATTTGAAGAACTGTTGCTTTTTTGAGGAAATCGAATGAAGACCAGTTATACTGTTTGAGTTTATAATCGAATGATAGAAAAATAATTTGGTTGGAATGACACCGATAATTCATTGAATAAATTAATCATCCGGGGACAAATGAAAGAGACTTTTAAATTGAAAATATATTAAAATAGACTTTAAATTGAATTTGATAAGAGTGTTTGAGGTTTTGTTAATATAGAGGACATAAATGAGAATGGACTTCTCAACTTTCGTATCTTTCATGAGTAAACCCTACAAAAGAATAGAAGAGAAAGGCTCTCGTCGATCGATCTTGATCTATCAACTAACTACTTGGAGTAAATTAGATACTAAACCGATTGATATTTTTTAAAAGACTTTCATCTGGTTCCACAGTCATCTCGTTGGCAATAAAATATTTTTTTCATAATGTTCAACACATTATTTTAAAATGGCATGGATGAAATTACAAGTGATGAGATGGGTAATGTAAAGTGGTTTGCTA